TAGAAATGAGGTATGATAGGATGAATTGTGAAGAGTAATGATAATTCATCCTATCATTCTTCATCCCTAAGGTTAGAAATAGTCGTTATTTCTCCTTAAAATAAATTTCGATTTTTCGTTCAAAAGAAACATTTGCGGTATAATTGTCAAATTTCGTTCTACAATCTTTTATGTTACGCAATTTTCAAATCGTTAAGGAATTGTTTAAGAACAATATCTTTTCAAATTTTCAGTGATAGTATGTTGTCAATTTATTATTATTTTTTATTATAACTAAAATATTTTTAGTTTCTTTATAGATATAGATATATAAATATCTATAAAGAAACTAAAAATATTTTTAGGAAATAATTTCTACATAATTACTCACACTCATATGTGATGACATTTTTCTTAATGGCATAAAATATTAGCTTATTTTTTACATTTTAATATATAAATGGAGATTTCATAAATGAACATCATTTTTCGATCATTTTGTTAGCATGTACTCAATTTGAAGTTAAATTTCGCAAACACAAATATACAAAATAAGATTAAAAAGTTGGTAAATTTGAAAATGCGGATCTTTGCCGTATAAAATATCTTTGATGATTTTTCTTTTATAATAATAATATCAATATTATAAAATAAATAAAGCTTCCAGGGCTAAGTTATCAATGATTATTTTTAAACAAAGTGGATCGAAATCCAATAAATTGAGTGTTTGAAAAATAATTTTAAAAATATGGGTGTATTTAACACTTTTTTTTAAAGAGAGACTAGGAAAATAAATATTCCAATTTAATTAATTATTTAAGCATATTTTCACGCAGAAACTGCTGATTTATCAACCGGTGCTAAATAAAGAATCGAACTAAACATTTTTTTTTTTTTTAGAATAATATCAAAAGAAATTTTTACAAAGATAACCAGACAATTATGAGATGTTCCAGTAGTCGTCTGGATTCTTATCTCTGTAGGCGTCAGCGGCAAAGAAGTTCTCAAAAGTTAACGAGACATTTATCGTCTGGGATAAAAATAGCCAACCAACCATCTGTTGGGGGATGACTCAAGTGCTGATTGACGAAGAGATCTAATTTTATCCATCACCTATAACTCGTTTTTTTTTTTTTTTTAATTTTTGTGATCGTTTACCTCTAGTTTTCACATCTGCAAACATTACTAAAATCAACTAAGCTATTTTAATCCTTTTATAGGTTTTTAACTTTTAATTAGACAAAATTTTAATTTATATTTAGACATTTTTCATTTTAATTTAGACGCATCGACTTTTCTATAAAAAGTCCATGTGTCTGAATTAAAATGGAAAATGTCTAAATTAAAATGAAAAATGTTCTAAATTAAAATGAAAATGTCTAAATTAAAATTGAAAATGTCTAAATAAAAATGAAAGTACCTAAATTAATATTGAAAATGTCTAAATAAATGTATCTAAATTAAAAATTAAAAATGAAAAATGTCTAAATATAAATTTAAAAATTGTCTAATTAAAAGTTAAAAACCTATATATGGTATCTATATTAATATTGGCGCGTAGAAAATTAGGAAAGACAAACTTCAGAATGTGTGACACAGCATTTTATTTAAAGATTTATTTATGGATTGCTCTATTTTCAAAACAGCATTTTATCTTATGTATAAAAAAATATATATTTATAAAGTATTGGATAGGTTAAATAGAATGAAGTTTAAATAGTTACAAAATATATTGAAGAAAATTGTAATTCTGTATATATAAAATAATAAATATTTTACGAAAATATTATTCCCAAATATGAAATTGTGTTCCTATTCGTTTCCCAGGTATAGCCATTTTCTTGATTGCCTTTTCAAACGACATTTAGAAAAGTCAAATACAGGCTTCAAACAAGTCTACCCCATTTCGGTTTAGATATTTTAGAAAATTTTTGTTACAGTTGAGACGAGCTAATGTCTTAATAATATCATAATGTGTTGCATACACGCTACCTATTTGTTTAGTTATTACTAATAATAGTATTTTTGTGGGGGAAATAATGCAGTGGTTCCCCATCTACTTATATATTTGCCTTATTCTGTCTGTTTGTCTGAAGCTCACGGATAGAATGCGCGCTCATTGGCTGCAAGGGAACACGTGTCCTCCCTGCCCCCCTCTAGACAACCCTGTTATTCAAAAACCATACATCCAATCGCCATGAAATTCTGGGATATTATTAGGTATATCCCCGGAAAGGTTTTCGAAAAATAATTTCTTGAATATCTTGAATATCCTTAGAGTTATTTGCAGAATTGTAGATATAACTCGCAAGCAGCGCCGCCAGACGGTGATAGGCTTAAGCTTGCTGCTCCACCCCTGTTGACCTTGGGTCGTCGTGTGAGTCACAGCATGATGCAACAAAAAACACTCTCTCTGGGGATTGCGGCGTCAACAACCTGTAAGTTTGTGCCTCTCTCATAAACCTGTCTATACAGACCACCCTGTCTATAGCGACCACTCTAGACAACCCTGTTATCAGCTGTGTGATACATCCACCTGTCTATACAGACCACCCTGTTAATAGCGACCACCCAAGTCAACGTTTTTAGGATATATTCGCACTCGGGTAAACCCCGGGCGTTGCCCGGGCCATTCGTCTAGTTCATATATAATTGATTTAATAATAGGTTAATCTCCGCCTTTAGAAACCGTTTACAACATCAAGGTCAAGTGAGTACTTTCCTCTATATTAGGTTGAAGTTGATGGCTTATTCCAGTCTCTACTCGTCTTATCCTGGCTTAGCCGTTCTAGTTTATTGTTTGCCCAACGCCACGTGGAAGCGCCAGGTTAGGGATTTTCCCATCCTAGGAGATGAGGCCATATACTAAGACATTTCCTATACTCGTCAAGAACTATGGCAATACCTGATTAATGAGGCCCACACTAGTCTAAACCACTGAATAAACAATTGGAATATTTTGCAATATACAAATGTAATTCTACCAGATACCGCGAGAAGCGCTGCTTGAGAGTAAAATTGGCAAATTTGAAATAAAATTTCAACGAATATATTTATTTCAAATCAAATCCAAACCAGAAACCTTCCCGGTAGTATACTAAATAACTTCCCAAAGCTTCACGGCGATTAGAAGAGGGGTTTGAGACATAAAGGACAAACATACATTCATTTATATATATAGATGAAGGACGGATTTCTACAATTATTAAACTGAATAAATGAAAAATAATTGAGAAGGCTTTGCTCATTAGTGGTGAACATTCCCAGCGATTTCCACAATTCCATCCACCAACTACCATTACCACCAACCACGATGTTTCTGTGTGACAGGTGATGACGGCCATGGACAAACTGTGGCACGCCGAACACTTCCAGTGCGCTAAGTGTAAGCTGGAGCTGGGAGCCCTCCGTACTTTCTTCCCCAAGGACGGCAAGCCATACTGCGAGAGCTGCTTCCACGCCAACTTCTCCCCTACCTGCGCGGGCTGCAAGAAGATCATCCAAGGGGTACGTTACACTTCCAGTACACCTCGTGAGCCTGAATAGTCTGTCGGAGGGCATACAGCAGACCTTACACAGACAGGATTCAGTCATAGAGAAGATTTGATAAATAGAGCAAAGATACCTATTGCTAACGTCAATTCCTTTAACTCTTATATCGTTTTTTAATAGGAAAAGAGAGAGAGATGTCTCTCCCGAAATTTATTTTTAATGATCTCTGTGTGTAGCTAATCTTAAATCACTATACAAGCGCTATAGAAAATTTTCTGAAGATAATAAAGAAATAGATTAAAGACCCTTTATCAATCACTTAGTAGGTTCGACTTGAAGTATGTACAGTACTATTTAGACCTATCTTCTGGGGCACATGGTACAATTGTAGTCGCTCCTAGCTTTTATCCTAGTACTTACAAATGATATTTACAATTTTTTTGTTCAGTTTGTAGTTCAGTTCGTGAGTACTAGGTCTCTTTTAACCAAGTATTTTATCCGGACCTCTGCAATTAGCTTCTTGACAAATCTCTTGGGATTCACTGGAAGGATTTTTGAATTGGTATAAGTTGGAGGAGCAGGAGTGAGGGGAGGTGCAGGTCTGGAAGGGACTGAGACTGGGCGAGGCTCAGCTTTGTTATTCCTGGTGAAGTTGGTGGTGACCAGGCTCAGCTCCCGAACGAGTATTACTTGAGCAGCGTGCGCGAAAACCTCTCTTATCCTTTATCTATAATCTACACACATGTGCATTAATTTAGACTTTTAGAATCAACCGTAATAATTATATTTATCTTCTAGGGCACATGAGGAATTAATACCATCTTAATTATTCCTCATCTTGGAGAATCCTCTGAGACGAAATATTGACATTAGATGTTCCTGTACCTTGTTATGGTTTTTCTTTTGTCTGGACTGGTTACGGCAGACGATACAGGACTAAGCTCTTCTGGAGATTCTTACAAAGACAGAGCTGTTGACAACATTTTGTCCATCTTTGCCTGTTCACCACTGTTGTCAACCTACTGGGAATTATCTCATTCTATTCCTTAATGTAGAGCGATCCTTGCTTGCAATAAGAAATAGCGGAGTTAGGTTGACGAAGTAGAAAGTCGGCCCATTGCAGCACACAGGTAGTAAATACTAGAGATAATGTGTCGAGTATAGAAAGGTTCTCCCCATATAAACTGTAGTTGTTAACATGGGTA